CCAGCTTGAACTGAGCCACACTCTGGACCAACTTAACTCTGCATCTACACCTGGGCTGTTGGATGTTGCCGTGGAAAACCATCCAATGGTGAAGACTGGTGCCGTTACCAACATAGGGTCGTAACTAGGGAAGCCCTCAATGCTGCTGGGAGTTCTTCGGGTTTTGCTGGTCGGCCTTCTCGCCCACTTGTCACAGACTCTATTTCAAACTCTGCATCCTCCTCAAATTCCAAACCTGCCACCTCCTCTGACACACAGACTCAACTGATGGCCTTGCTCCCGACTTCTCAGAGAAAATAGAAGCCATTACACAAGATCCTCCTCAGTTTTCTTCATCCTTCTACTACCTCAGCTACAGCCTCAGCTCGTCCTCTCTCCCTTCTTTGTGGTCAGAGAGATGTTCTTCCTCTTTTTTTTTTTTATATGAAAAGATGTTCATTGTCATTAGCCATTGGGGAAATACAAATCAAAACTACAATGAGATACCACTTCATACCCATTAGGATGGCTATTATCAAAAGAAGGAGGAGGAGGAGGGGAGGGTGGGGAGGGTGGGGAGGGTGGGGAGGGGCAAAGGTTTTCTTCCTGCCGTGGATGATCCTCGCGCCTCTTCTCCGGGCACCATTATCTCTCACCACATCAGGGGTACCCAGCATCCTTCTCAATGCTGATGTCGACGAGCACCTCTTTCTAAACTGTCCACTTAGATATTAAGAAAATACATGGCAAACACAGAGCCATAGGCCTTGTGGGATTTGGGATGTTGGTACAAAAGCTCCTGTTACTACGAACACATGACCTTTGTGCTCAGCTCTGCTAGTTGGGCCATGCTGAGACTGCCCCATGCCTGCCCTGGGGTTCTCCACTCTCCCGTGTCCCTTACCGCATGGCGTAGGTCATCCGGTCCGGCCGCATGACTCTCATCATGCAGAGGCGCTGCAGGGCTGTCTTGTTCTTCCACTCCTGTGGAAACTTCTCCTTCTCGGGACATTCCGATTCCACAAACTTTTTCCAGCTCTTGGCAGATCCCTCAATGTCCCGATCCAGATTATAAAATCCTTCCATTGATGCAAGTGCCTGAGAAATTTTAGAGAATCTTGCTCTGAAATGCAGTTTCTCCAGAAAGCTATATTTTTCATTGTGTTGGGGGAGGGGGTCAAAGAAGAAGATCATAGTGTAGATATAATTCTGTCTCATTCATACTCTTGTCTGGAATCTTGGACCTTTCCCCCCAGCTAAACTCAAGGAAGCAGAAGGCATTGATTCAAGTCACCTTCTGCAAACTGCACCAATAACATGCAAGATTTAGCAAATAAAGTGTTTGGATTATTAGTGGCAGCAGAGATTGAGCAGCACTTGCCTGCAGGGTATTGTCTGGATGGAGGGACAAGAAAGGATGCCATGAATTTTCTGGTCATGGAGCCCAGACCTTTTAAGTCTCTGACTCCTTTGTTTCAGGACTCACTCCGCTGGCAACTCCTGTCGAGTTCTCTCTCAAGGCGTCCCTAGCATCATTGACTTCGTGTTAATGCCAACACTAAATTTTCCATGAGTTGCTTGTTTCCATAAGAATGAAGCACAAATGCATAACTTGGTAGTCAAATGTCTTCATTTAGTGCTTCCTTCCGATCCATCCAGTGAACCAGGCACCCTGCTTCCCTTCTACTCTGTCCAAGAGTATCTGTGGCCAACCTTGGAGCTGTGCCAGCCTCATTACCAACTCAACTCCCCGTTTACTCTACTTTCACCATGTGAGAGGTCCTTGTTCTTTCCTCTCCCCAATTCCACTCCTTCCTTTTCTTGTGCTGGTCCTGATTTGTGTGTGTTAAGGTCCTACAAGTTGTTAAAGTCCTGTTCATAATTAGCAACCTCTCTCAGGTTCATCCTCTCTAACCTAGAACACAGAACCTTCCCATCCTCCTTGTGTGTGCTACTTGGAACTACCTGTGGAGTTGATATCTTTAATAAAGGGCCTGACGCAATGTTTAGATGTTTGATTGTGATGGCTTTAAAGTCTTATCCCTCTATCTTCCTTTTCTGCTCCACATCCAGGCAAGCTGATAAGAGCGCTGGCCCTCCCTCCTCTTGTGCTGGAGGGAAGTTGTGGCATGTAATCTCCTGCCCACGTACAGGAATACTCACCCTGGCCCCAACCCTAAACTACCAAAAAAACTCCAAGGGGGTCTCCTTCCTCGGCTCCCCCCAAGCCATTTTCAGACTGCTTGGGAGCTCCTCTGCTCTCCCAGAAAGACTCATTATGTGAGTAATAAACTCTTTAATACTCTCTTGGTATGTGTGTGGCATCATCAGTCTTGATATCAGAACAAAATTTTGGGTGGGGTTTCTTCTCATTCCATTTCTCCAGAGTGCCCACATAAACATTAGTCACTTGGGACATTTATCTGCAATCTTTCCATGATTACTCAACTCTGCTTGTATGTTTGGTCTCTTCAATGAGATTAAAAACTAGACTATGTCCAAACCACCTACCAAAATGCCACGAATTTTAAGGATCCCGATATATTCTTTCTATTTGAATTCATTCATTCATGCATTCAATTCAACATTTACTGAATGTCTACTACATGCCAGGTACTTGGGTAGACAAAGGAAAACAAGAAAGAACACATGCCTTCCAAGGAGCTTGCAGTCCCAAGTTAAGGAGAAAGAGGAGATGAGGGAAGCCTTAGCAGGTATACACAATTCATTTGGGCAGAGACAGAGATAAAGAGAAGGGAAGGGCATTTGTAGGGTGGGGTCAACAAGAGTCAAAGTCTGGAAAGGGAAGAGTGTGGGACATGTCAGAAAGCAGGGTGACTGTAGGAGAGGAGTCTTACCAGTGACCGGGGGCAGGTAAAGCTGGAGAAGGACAGAGACCCTTAACCTGGGCTTGCCTCGGCTCATTTCTCATGCGGATGAACCCATGTCCTGTCTTTATGTGCCCTTTCACATGGGCTCTGTGGTCCCCCAACTTCACCCTGGCCACTTAGCAGGGGATGGGCGTAACTCGTACTGAGAAGTGGGGTGGGGAGCAGTGTGTAGGATGGAGAAGGGAGCGCCAGCAGTCGAAGGTTCTGGTCTCAGCCCCCCTCTTAGGAGCCTCTTGTGACTCAGAGATTGCTTTTAAACCTTTGTGGGCTTTGATTTTCTCATTTGGAAAATGAGGCCAAGTCATCCTTGTCTGCATAGCTCATATTCTAATGCAGATACAAGTGCTTTGAAGACTATAAAGGCCTCCCTGGTGCTTCCTTGGGGTGCCTACAGTTATTGAATTGCAGTTGCTGGTGTACTTGTCTGCCACTTCCCACAAGACGGTGAGTTCCCTGTGGGCAAGAACTTTCTTAGGCGGCTTTGTATGCCTTGGCCTTGCAGGCTGCTTGGCACTTAGAAAGTGCTCAATTAATAAAGTTTGACATCTGTGTGGACAGCGGGAGGGCTCTTGACAGGCTGAGAAAAGCTGCCGCTGCTGTAATCACTTCTCTCTGGGCTGAGGAACTGGCTCCCATCTTCCTCCCAGCCTGCATCACCATTAACCCTTCTGAGCACCCATTACCCCCTCCGGCGACACCACAAAACGGAGCAAATGATGCTCTGATCAGTGTCCCCAGCTGCCGCGACTGGGTCTGGGACGGACTTTCTTGAAGCTCTGGGTTGAACACAATGGCCCCATTTAATCTCCCAAATGAGGGAAAGGGATTTCTAGCCTTCTAATAAGCTAAATGGAAATGACTAATTAACCTAATTGCATTGGACTGTGTAGCAAAACACAACTGTGCTCAATTGGCATCCGGAGGGGTTGGGGAGAGGCTGACAGGGATGTGCATCACAGATGAGATTTTTATAATGAAGAAACAGAACATGCCCATTACCTTCAAGTTCAGCATTCGGCGAGATTTAAGATAAAAAAATCCTTACAGAGGGTAAACAATAAAAGCACTGTTTTATCACCCAGATTTCACTCATTACCCGCTTATTAGTTCTTTTGGAGGGCAACAAGGCAATTGACCTTCCTCACAGATAGAATTAAAAGACATTTTTTATCATGTCTTATTCAATCATATTTGTTTCTTTAGGCTAAAATCCAACGGAACACTTAAAAGGAGCCTTTATCAAAGGCTTCAGGGATGTACGCGACACACTGCGTTCTGTTTCAGCTGCTCACATCTGGCCCTGTGCTTGAGTTGGACGGGTCTGGACTCTGCCGCTCCCCATAACACAACTCACAGAAAGAGAGAGAAAGCTTCATGCATTTCTAAAAGCCTTTGAAAAGCCAGAGAAGCCTAGCCCACAAAACCAAACAAAAAAGCAAAGCAAAGCAAAGCAAAGCAAACAATCCGCCTTGTGAAAAGAGAGATGGAACCAGGTGGCACAGAAGCTTCGGAGTGGAGTAACGTAAAATGAAAATAGTAGGGAGTGGCTTTGAATCCTTTATTCTTTCTGACTTTTGCTGCAGAGGGTTTTGTGGGATAACATAGACAAAGGCAACTGGACTTGATCCAAACTCACAATTCCTCAATCTTTTTCCTTCAGTGGGCAAATGCCATCAGGCATGACCCACATCAACCACAGCGTACGTACACACCACAGCTGGGTGATGAATAATCGTAAATCTTAGGCGTGAACTGTGTTCCCCAAAAAGACATGTTGGAGAAGTAACTTCCCAGACTTGTGGATGTGGCCTTATATTTGGAGACAGGGTCTTTGCAGGTTCCATCAAGGTGAGATGAGGTTACTAGGGTGGGCCCTAAGCCATTAGGACTGGTGTTCTTGTAAGGAGGGAAGATGGTCACCTGAAGACCATGGGGATGGGCTGAGTCTGCCACAAACCAAGGAGCACCTGGGGCCACCAGAAGCTGGAAGATGCAATGGAGGAACCTCTCCTAAGAGGCTCTGGAGGGAGCATGACTCTGCTGACACCTTCATTTCAGACTTCCAGACTCCAGAACTGCAAGAACACCCAGCTTGGGGTGCTTTGTTATGGCGGCTCAAGGAAACTAGCTACTGCAATCCGTTCACGTTTACTGACCATTTACTGTCTGTTCGAACCCCATGAAATGGGTATGATGACGGCCATTTGCTGATGAGGAATGAAAAGTTCAGAGGAATAAGATAATATGCCAGAGGCCACATACACTCAAACTTGAACTTGAACCCAGGAATGTCTGACTCCAGAGCCTGTGTTAACCAGTCTATCATTGCAGCAGTTCTGCAAAGGGGCTCAATCAGAACTGATTTCCAGAATTTATCTTCCATAAGGGCACATAGGAGGCACTATTCTCAACTCTAGGTCTACACTGTCCAACAAGGTTGTCAATGAGCCGGTGAAATTGGCTCATGTGACTGAGGAAGTGTGTTTTTAATCCACCTAATTGTAATTATTTTTAAAATTTAGGTTTAGAAACTGGAACTTGCTTTCATAGTTGGAAAACTTTTAAGTATGTTTGGAACAACTGAGGTATAGGAATCAATGATTTTAAATCTAGATTTTAGGAAATCTAAATACTTTATCAAGTATTTTTTAAAAGATTTTATTTTATTTAAGTAATCTCTACACCCAATGGGGGGCTCAAACTCACAATCCTGAGATCAAGATCACATGCCCCAGGCACCCCTTAAATATTTCCAATGAAAATTTAACATCTGAACTGAAATGAGCTATTAGTATAAAAAATACACACCAGAATTCAAATACAAAAATATAAAATATTTCATTAATAATTTTTTTAAAGATTTTTTTTAAGATTTTATTTATTTATTTGAGAGAGAGAGAGAATGAGAGACAGAAAGCACGAGAGGGAAGAGGGTCAGAGGGAGAAGCAGACTCCCCGCCGAGCAGGGAGCCCAATGCGGGACTCGATCCCGGGACTCCAGGATCATGACCCGAGCCGAAGGCAGTCGCCCAACCAACTGAGCCACCCAGGCGCCCTCATTAATAATTTTTATAACAATTGCATATGAAACGGTAATTTGGCTACACTAGGTTAGAGAAAATACATTATTAAAATTAATTTATTTCCTTTTATATTTTTCAATGTGGCTACTAGAAAATTTTATTTTATTTTTTTTAAAGATTTTATTTATTTATTTGTCAGAGAGAGAGCAAGCGAGCACAAGCAGGGGGAGTGGCAGGCAGAGGGAGCAGCAGACTCCCTGCTGAGCAAGGAGCTGATGCGAGACTCGATCCCAGGACATGGGATCATGATCTGAGCCGAAGGTAAACGCTTAACTGAGCCACCCAGGTGTCCCGAAAATTTTAAATTACATATGTGACATGAATTATATTTCTTTCGGACAGTGCTACTCTAGAGTATGTCAATTCATTCATATCTTATGTAGCCTAGAAAAGTTGATGGTTTTCTACACATATCTTCACAAATCTCTGCATTTATTATGATTTTTCTTAAGCATTTTAGAAATTGTTGTGAATGGGGTTCTTCCTTATTTCTTTTCCAATGTAGTGTTCCTCTTCTTATTTGCCAGATGGAGCCCAGGATGACAAATGCAGTTAATAGATGAAAGTCAAATCACACCTTTATTATTTTGGCCAGGGATCAGCAAACTACAGCTTGCAGACCCAATCTGGCTCACCACCTGTGTTTGTAAATAAAGTTTTATTGGAACTCAGCCATTTCCATTTGCTTCCATATTGTGTGTGACTGGCAGAGCTGAGTAGTTGTGACAGAGTCTGGCCCTCAAAGCATAAATATTTACTATGTGACCCTGTACAGAAAGTTTAATGGAGCTTGATTTAGATACAGCCCTGATTTAGCTACAGACGATGAAAAGAATAGCTGCAGACTCTGAAAAAGAAGTTAGAAAAATATTTTGGGCAGTAGTGGCATGAGTGGTATTAGCCTTGAATTTCCTAAGATGGTCCCTTTGAAGAGGAGAGCATGCATATAAATATTAAGTTGTGGGCTTCCGTTATAAAGTAAATCAACTTGGGTGGCTCTCAAGGGAATTATGCTCCGCAAACAAGCCAGTCTGCAAAGGTTCCATACTGCAGGATTCCATTTACATAACATCCTTGGGAGGATAAAATTATACAAACGAAGAATCGATTAGTGGTCGTCAGGCATTAGGGGAGGGAGCACGTTGTTCTGGTTAAAAAGGGCAACATGAGGGATCCCTCTAGTGATGGAATTTTCTGTATCTTGACCAGGGTGGTGGTTACATGAATCTTCACATATGAAAAACTAAACACACATTCACACACAGGTGCATAAAAATTAGTGAAATCACAGCAATATTAGTGGATTGTATCAATGGAAATTTCCTGGATGTGATGTTGCATGACAGGAATGCAAGATGTTATCGCTAAGGGACAGAGGGTACAGAGGATATTTCTGTTTCTTATAACTGCATGTGAATTTATATTATCTCAAAAATTTAAACAAATCAATAAAAAAATATAAAGAGAAAGAGAACCAATCCTATTACTTTAGACTCCTTCTTCTTTGTCCTACGAACCGTGTATAAGATGGAACAAACATGGAAGATTACAAACAGGGTTCATTCTGTGTAGATGCCAGAGCTCCCAAAGCACCAGCACCTGCTGTGTGTACTCATTCAGGTGTGGACCTAACAGCTGCCCACGTGGACAGCAGGCCAGGCCTCTGCGGTGGGTGGTCACTTCGTTAACATTACTGCCCGGCATCATGTCACACCCTGTCCATGCATGCATGGTCCCTACAGAAAGGAGCTTATAGTTTGTGATCTTTTCATAGAATAACGTTCATAGAATCCCAACTAAACTAAACTGCACAACATGGGAGCACCTGGGTGGCTCAGTACGTTAAGCGCCTGCCTTCAGCTCAGGTCATGATCCCAGGATCCTGGGATCGAGCACCGCATCGGGCTCCCTGCTCAGCAGCGAATCTGCTTTTCCCTCTGCCTCTAACCCCGCCCCGCGCTCGTGTGCATGCGCATACATGTACGTTCTTAGGCGGCTTTGTATGCGTTGTACTCTCTCTCTCACAAATAAATAAAATCTTTTTAAAAAATAAACTAAGCTGCACAACATGGCAAGAAAATGGGCTTTGCATTAAATGGGAACAGATACCACCTACCTCCTGGGTGAACGTGAGAAGAAAATGCATTTCGAAGGTGTTCAATAAATGTGAGCTATGATGAACCACTGCGAATCCCAGGCTGGAATGCATCCCCTGCTTGGAGGCTGAGTTGGGACTCACGTTGACATGCCTGAACAGAGCTTGGCATCTGTCTGCTTCCTGGAAGCCCTGTTGCAGCACCCCGTGCCAGCCCCAGGGCCTCACAGAGGAGTGCACATGCCAGCCCTAAGCGCAGGCAGGCGCAAGGCAGGGAAGCTTGCAAGATCTTACCGCTTCCCCACATCCTGGAGGCAGAGCCCTTAACTTGCATGTACCTGCTCCTCTACAGAGCCTTCCCAGCAGGCCCAGGAAGGGTGAGCTCTGCCGTGGGGGGCCAGGTAAAGGCATGCACCTATGTTTAACACAGCTCCCTGCAAGAAACCTCAAAGGAAGCCCTGCTGACTTCATGGGGAAAAACTCTAAGAGATGAGAACCTGACTTATTCCTGGAGGCCTTTCCTACTGACCTTGATGCCTCCCCAGGCCTGATGGGAGAGGAAGCCCACGGGACTGGTGACACCCGTCTGTCCTGGAGAGCGAAGCAGGAAATCCAGCTCTGCCGCATCAACTTCCCGGTTCATGAGGAGAATCTGCAATGTAGAAGAATGGTACCACATTTCTTTAGGGGGTGGGAGTCACAGGGTTCTGGAGATCTTGGGGTTGGCACTCAGGGTAATTATTGCTGCTTTGAACCCTAGAGTTTGCCACCAGTTTTGGTTGTTGAAAGAGGGTGGAGAGTAAGAAATTGGGTATCTCCACCTCACACCAGTCAGAATGGCTAGAATTAACAAGTCAGGGAACGACAGATGTTGGTGGGGATGTGGAGAAAGGGGAACCCTCCTACACTGTTGGTGGGAATGCAAGCTGGTGCTGCCACTCTGGAAAACAGTATGGAGGTTCCTCAAAGAGTTGAAAATAGAGCTACCATACGATCCAGCAATTGCACTACTGGGTATTTACCACAAAGATACAAATGTAGGGATCCGAAGGGGTATGTGCACCCCAATGTTTATAGCAGCATTGTCCACAATAACCAAACTGTGGAAAGAGCCAAGATGTCCATCGACAGATGAATGGATAAAGAAGAGGTGGTATATATACACGATGGAATATTATGCAGCCATCAAAAGGAATGAGATCTTGCCATTTGCAACGACGTGGATGGAACTGGAGGGTGTTATGCTAAGTGAAATAAGTCAATCAGAGAAAGACATGTATCATATGACCTCGCTGATAGGAAGAATTTTTAACCTCGGGAAACAAACTGAGGGTTGCTAAAGTGGGGGTGGGGTGGGAGGGATGGGGTGGCTGGGTGATAGACATTGGGGAGGGTATGTGCTATGGTGAGCGCAGTGAATTGTGCAAGACTGATGAATCACAGATCTGTACTTCTGAAACAAATAATGCAACATATGTTAAGAAAAAAGAAAAAGAAGAAGATAGCAGGAGGGGAAGAATGAAGGGGAGTAAGTCGGAGGGGGAGACGAACCAGGAGAGACGATGGACTCTGAAAAACAAACTGAGGGTTCTAGAGGGGAGGGGGGTGGGGGGATGGGTTAGCCTGGTGATGGGTATTAAGGAGGGCACGTTCTGCGTGGAGCACTGGGTGTTATGCACAAACAATGAATCATGGAACACTACATCAAAAACTAATGATGTAATGTATGGTGATTAACATAACAATAAAAAATTAAAAAAATATATCATTATCCAGAAAAAAAAAAAGAAATTGGGTATCTGCGCAAATCACTCCTGGGTGTGTGTGTATTCGCCCCAAATAACTAACCCTAAACCTTGGTTAGCAAGCATTTCGTACATCAGTCCTAAAGGCCACGGAGTACATCTCCGCAATAGAATTAAGAAGATGACACATACAGGGGCGCCTGGGTGGCTCAGTTGTTAAGCGTCTGCCTTTGGCTCAGGTCATGATCTCAGGGTCCTGGGATCGAGCCCCGCATCGGGCTCCCTGCTCCGCGGGAAGCCTGCTTCTCCCTTTCCCACTCCCCCTGCTTGTGTTCCCTCTCTCGCTGTGTCTATCAAAAAAATAAATAAAATCTTTAAAAAAAAAAAGATGATACGTACAAATGACATGATTTGAGGAGAATGTCGAAGTCACATGTAGATATACGCAAAACAGAAATGCATACATGAATCAACAATGCAAAAGTTTCCAGAATAGGGGAGTGGCCAGCAAGCAGGGGTGAGGAGACTAATTTGATTAAACCTTCTATATGTAGTTTTGAATTGGGTGTTGGAGAAGCTAAGAGGTGGGACTGTCTAGGCAGGGAGGGAAGGTGCTCCGGAAAGGGACTAAGGAGTGGGCAGAGGCTAGGAGGGGGAGTTGGTGAGGAGTGTGCAGCGGAAGGTAGAGTGCTCTCTAGAGCTAATAAATGATTCACACTGAGAGGTGCTTGGGAAATTGTCCATCCCCTTTTAAATGGTGTTCTGTGCTCAGAACAGATGGGAATGCTCACTAAGAAATAATAATTTGGCAAGTTTGAGGAAGAGTCTCTAAGGGAGGAAAAAGGCCTGGTAAAATGAAGTTAAAATATTTATGAGGAGAGAAGAGCGAAAGCTAGGGTTGGAAGCTCCTTGGGGCCTGGGGGCAATGAGTGTCAGGAGAGAAGATGCTGGGGTTCAAGCTTTTTATAAGTAGGCTCCATGCCCAGCATGGAGACCAACGTGGGGCTCAAACTCACAACCCTGAGATCAAGACCTGAGCTGAGATCAAGAATCAGATGCTTAACTGACTGAGCCACCCAGGTGCCCCAAATTAAAAATTTTTAAAAAGTAATCTCTGTGCCCAATGTGGGCTCAAAGTCACAACCCCAAGAGCAAGAGTTGCATGCTCTGCTGACTGAGCCGGCCAGGTGCTCCAAGGTCTTTTTATGATGGCCACACTCATCTGGGCTGGAGAGGGAACACAGAGGGTAAGGGGGAGAAGCCACACTACCACACCCCCGTGCATTCAGGCTTTGCAACATGCAAAAAGAGTCAGCCCAGAAGTGATCATAGACTGTTTGGTGTCTAGAATTGAAAGAGGCCTTCAAGATAATTTAGTGTGTGCTCCCAATTAACTTAGGGAAAAAATTCCCAATCCTAAATGATTAGAGGGATAAATGCAAGAAAATAAAATTTTCTTGGCTTTTTGAAGTTGATAATAAGTGGAAGACAAGGCTTTTCTCATTAACACTGGAAGTTCCTGATGCACCCAAACCCTTGAGAATCAGAGTTCTTAAGGACCTCTTCAAGGCCAAGGCTGCCATGGCTATGGAAAGCATTTGTAACTTCTTATTCCATGGGAAGTTTGGGACATTAAACCCGCATCTCTCAAGGTAAATAAATAATGAGGATGCTGCAAATTTTCTTACAGCATCTCAAAAAGTATCTAGTTATTTGTATGGCCATTGAGTTTCATTGTTTGTGCCAGTTTGGCACAAACTGGTAGGCTGCTGGAAGGCTATGTTGAGGAGGATCGTAGGTAATCCGAGGAAAAGAAGAAGTACAACAGTTGATCAGCCATGGCTGCCATGAGTGGGACAATCGTGAGGCAGCACGCGTGCACCATATTGGACCTTCTTGTCCGATGCCTCTGCTTAGAGCCAAACTGTCTTCACATTCTATGGGAAGCGTTATGAAAAGAAGAAACTTTCTTTACACCTGCTGGTTGGGCACTGGAAAATGACCTCTCTTCTAGAAACTTCTTCAATCCACTTTTACCTGAAAGGTAAGCTGAGCAAGATAAGTCAGCTTATCACACTCGAAAAGCCCACGGGTGGTGTACTGGTACACAGAGAAGGTGATGCTGTCTATCAGATTGGTCACGCGCTCCTTGAGGCTCTCATCTGGGGCAGCCTTCTCCACAGCCTTCTGGAAGACGATGCTGAACGCCTGGGGGCAGGAGGTTGGACACTGGTAATTTACACAGATCTCTTTGTATATAGCCAGTAAACTTAACCTGTGAAGAATATTGTAATTTGCCAGCCACAGAAATGTTTTCCCAGCATATCCTGCCAAGAAGGGACCGTGGCAACAAGACAACATGCTATTAGCTTTTTTCTTAGTTTGCTTATATGAATTATTATGTTGCCATGAAGTGGGCAACGCTTTGAGGCATACAGACAAGAGCCTACAGTTTTGACCAGTGAAAAGTAACTATCCAGTAGCCCAAATCATTAAATTAGATCCAGGAAGTTTTGTTGGATAACTACCCCCAAAAAACACAGCCAACAATAACCAGTTGGGATTAATGATCCCAGCCAGTAAATTCCAGATTTCTTGATGGTAGAACGAAAATGTGTTGGGACAAATTTTTGTCTTAAAGGGCCCCTTGTAAACATCCTGGGCACTCAGAATATTTTAAAATAATTATTTTTCCATTTGGGAATGATCAGAATCTCATGTGTTGTATTTCTTCCTATGAACTGTGCATTCATTTGGAGAGTCCACTTACATGTTCCTTATTTCCTGATAGACCCTTCCTTCAATCAGAGAGCAGGCAGCATAGCCTGCTTTGGCTATATCTTCTGAACATGAAGGCTTTCATATGAAATACCAATTTACATGAGTCAATTTTTCATTATTTTAAAGTATACAGCATTTATAAAAGTAAATATTAGTAATGCTACATTTTGAATGTGATATTTATACAACGCATCCTTAAAGGAAATCGAAATCAAGCTATCATTGGGCCTTTTCAATTCGTGGCTATGCAGATTTCCAGTCTTTCTCTATTTTCCTTTCGTGGCTTCAAAAAGAAAATAAAAAAATTCTTAGGTCTTTCTAACACCAGGTATTGAACCTCAATGGAAACGATATACAATCTGTGTCTCGATATTTCCTCATTTGCAAAATGGGGGGGAATATGAATTCCTCTATTTCATAGTTCCATTGTGTTTCTTGTTACTGAAACCCTTGCAGCCTTCCTTCTTCATTCAGTGTTGAGGACTGCAGCAACATCTGACCACCCTCAACCCAATCCCCTGGGATGTTTCCCTGCACTTGGAAGGCTGGGGATTGGAAGAACAGCTTGGTAGAAGCAGATCTTGCCATGCAGTTCCACACAGAACAATCTGAGAAACTTCCCCTTGCAGAGCAGGTCTGTAGAGACCATGTGGGTAGCTTCCCTCTGCCCCCCAGTGGTTAGTGTGGTATTTTTTCCCCCTAAAACTCTCTTTCTTGAAATGACAGCAATCAGTACATAATTTCTAGTTACTAAGCTTAAACAAAGTGATTTGCAAGTCAGGAAAAGATCAAAAGAACATTTAAGGACCTAAGTACACTCAGCATTTTTTTTCTTTTTTAATTTTTTAATTGTTATGTTAATCACCATACATCATTAGTTTTTGATGTAGTGTTCCATGATTCATTGTTTGTGCATAACACCCAGTGCTCCAGGCAGAACGTGCCCTCCTTAATACCCATCACCAGGCTAACCCATCCCCCCAACCCCCCTCCCCTCTAGAACCCTCAGTTTGTTTTTCAGAGTCCATCGTCTCTCATGGTTCGTCTCCCGCACCGATTTACTCCCCTTCATTCTTCCCCTCCTGCTTTCTTCTTCTTTTTTTTTTCTTAACATATTTTGCATTATTTGTTTCAGAAGTACAGATCTGTGATTCAACAGTCTTGCACAATTCACAGCAGTCACCATAGTACATACCCTCCCCAATGTCTATCACCCAGCCACCCCATCCCTCCCACCCCCTACCACTCCAGCAACCCTCAGTTTGTTTCCTGAGGTTAAAAATTCCTCCTATCAGCGAGGTCATATGATACATGTCTTTCTCTGATTGACTTATTTCACTCAGCATAACACCCTCCAGTTCCATCCACGTCGTTGCAAATGGCAAGATCTCATTCCTTTGGATGGCTGCATAATATTCCATTGTGTATATATACCACTTCTTCTTTATCCATTCATCTGTCGATGGACATCTTGGCTCTTTCCACAGTTTGGCTATTGTGGACATTGCTGCTATAAACATTGGGGTGCACGTACCCCTTCGGATCCCTACATTTGTATCTTTGGGGTAAGTACCCAGTAGTACAATTGCTGGATCATAGGGTAGCTCTATTTTCAACTGTTTGAGGAACCTCCATACTGTTTTCCAGAGGGGTTGCACCAGCTTGCATTCCCACCAACAGTGTAGGAGGGTTCCCCTTTCTCCACATCCCTGCCAGCATCTGTTGTTTCCTGACTTGTTAATTTTAGCCATTCTGACGGGTGTGAGGTGGTATCTCATTGAGGTTTTGATTTGGATTTCCCTGATGCCGAGCAATGTTGAGCACTTTTTCATGTGTCTGTTGGCCATTTGGATGTCTTCTTTGGAAAAATGTCTGTTCATGTCTTCTGCCCATTTCTTGATTGGATTATTTGTTCTTTGGGTGTTGAGTTTGATAAGTTCTTTATAGATTTTATATACTAGCCCTTTATCTGATATGTCTTTTGCAAATATTTTCTCCCATTCTGTCGGTTGTCTTTTGGTTTTGTGGACTTTTTTATTTTTAATTTTTTATTGTTATGTTAATCACCATATATTACATCATTTGTTTTGGTGTAGTGTTCCATGATTATTTGTTCATAACACCCAGTGCTCCACGCAGAACGTGCCCTCTTTAATACCCATCACCAGGCTAACCCATCCCCCTACCCTCCTCCCCTCTAGAACCCTCAGTTTGTTTTTCAGAGTCCATCATCTCTCCTGGTTCGTCTCCCCCTCTGACTTACTCCCCTTCATTCTTCCCCTCCTGCTATCTTCTTCTTTTTCTTTTTTCTTAAAATCTGTTGCGTTATTTGTTTCAGAAGTACAGATCTGTGATTCAACAGTCTTGCACAATTCACAGCGCTCACCGTAGCACATACCCTCCCCAATGTCTATCACCCAGCCACCCCATCCCTCCCACCCCCCACCACTCCAGCAACCCTCAGTTTGTTCCTGAGATTAAGAATTCCTCATATCAGTGAGGTCCTATGATACATGTCTTTCTCTGATTGACTTATTTCACTCAGCATAACACCCTCCAGTTCCATCCACATTGTTGCAAATGGCAAGATCTCATTCCTTTTGATGGCTGCATAATATTCCATTGTGTATATATACCACTTTTTCTTTATCCATTCATCTGTCGATGGACATCTTGGCTCTTTCCACAGTATGGCTATTGTGGACATTGCTGCTATAAACATTGGGGTGCACGTACCCCTTCGGGTCCCTACATTTGTATCTTTGGGGTAAATACCCAGTAGTGCAATTGCTGGATCGAATGGTAGCTCTAATTTCAACTGTTTGAGGAACCTCCATACTGTTTTCCAGAGGGGTTGCACCAGCTTGCATTCCCACCAACAGTGTAGGAGGGTTCCCCTTTCTCCACATCCCCGCCAACATCTGTCGTTCCCTGACTTGTTAATTTTAGCCATTCTGATGGGTGTGAGGTGGTATCTCATTGAGGTTTTGATTTGGATTTCCCTGATGCCGAGCAATGTTGAACACTTTTTCATGTGCCTGTTGGCCATTTGGATGTCTTCTTTGGAAAAATGTCTGTTCATGTTTTCTGCCCATTTCTTGATTGGATTATTTGTTCTTTGGGTGTTGAGTTTGATAAGTTCTTTATAGATTTTATATACTAGCCCTTTATCTGATATGTCATTTGCAAATATTTTCTCCCATTCTGTTGGTTGTCTTTTGGTTTTGTGGACTGTTTCTTTTACACTCAGCATTTTCTTTACACTCCACTAACTCTGGCTCGCTTTTGCTTTTCATCCTAAAAAGGACTCCTTGTCCTGCTCTCACTTCCAGTGTCTGCAGAGCCCGGCGCCGGGCTGACTTCCATTTGCACGACCCCTCTTGGAGGTCGTCTGCTGCACACACAGTCTTATGGCTGTCTCTAGCCACCTTGTTGCCCTTCCAGGGCCCTTGTCCATTGCCTTGTACCTTAGATATGTTTCATCTTGTCATTTATCAGATTGTGGGCACACTGAGGTCAGGTCTCAGCAACTTTCTTCTCTTCCCTAGAATCCAGCCCAGCTCTTCATGTATGGAAGTCACTGGAAAGATCTGTTAATGAATGACTGTGTCACACTAGTGCCCTGAAGAGCTTAGGCAGAGCATGAGAGATGCTCCAGACCAGGGATCTCAAACTCAAATGCCTCCAGGGACTGGGTGTGTAAGACCAAATTGGGAGGGGGGGAAAGAACATGGTCACAGGGAGGCACAAGCCCATCTGGGAGCAGCCATCCCTTAGCTCTGGCAAATACGTGCCCTGCGTGGAGCGCAAGCTCAGTGTTGCCAAATCTTACACACTTTCATGGGAAGCCAGAAATTTGGGTTTGTATGAAATCTCCTCACTTTTAAATCTTCACACCCAAGAAAGGTATATGAAAAGCCCTCTGAAAACAGGTCAACAGGCCTTCAGCTCTGTGCTCTTTGCTTCTATGTGATTCTTCCCTTCCCTGTCTCTTTGAGAAACCTCATTCCTGCAGCTGGGTCCCACAGGGAACCTCAGAAAGGTGCTGTCCTTCTCAGGACACCCTGAGCACCTGGCAAGTGAAGTCTCATTAACCCCTCTCTTTGCCTTGGGCTGAGTTTTGAAGAAAAATGACAATCACATGGGTTTCATCTTAACCATGTTATGAACTTCCAAGCTTGTTCACGACTGGCTCTTGAAGAGTTTTTGCTTGTATAAAAGCAAATAGACACATTTGAATATATTCCTGCTCAAAACAATTTAGAGGACTGGGATGTGCGGCCCCTGCTCTGAGAATGCCTCTCCTTTCTCTGGAACAACAAATATCGAGTCCAACCTCAGACCAAAGCCAAGACCACAGAGACTCCTGTGGCTGGTTTTTCGTCAAATCACACAAGGCTTCGAAGTGTACTGTTGTTTTGGTGCCTCTGAAGACACTTCATCGCCTTATCATTAAGCATTTAAATCTGCGTTCAATGACCAAGCTGGTCGGCGATTCTTAACAACAGTATGGGGCCCCAAAATGCCCTCCTCCCCCAAATAGCACTTCCAATGATGAAACAAGCCTCTACCAGGATGCTATTGCTGCAAAACAACTTACAACATTTTTGGGAACACATATTTTCATGGGTTTCATTTAATTTCTTTTCAACTACTCTCAGAACTAGGGAGCAATCTTGCAGTTATGAGGCTTATCATGCTAACTTTCATACTGTCTTAAAATATTTCATAATTCTTTCATCTGTTGCTTTGACCTGAATACAAGGTTAAGTATTAGATTTCTTTTAAAAACATAAAATATTATTAATTTTTTAGAGGGGTGGGAGGGGCAGAGGGAGAGAGAGAGCATCTTAAGCAGGTTCCACACCCAGCGTGGAGCCCCTTGTGGGACTCGATCTCATGACCCTGAGATTATGACCTGAGCTGAAATCAAGAGTCAGATGCTTAACTGGCTGAGCCACCCAGGTGCCCCAAACCATAAAATATTATAAACACATTTCATGTAATCTGCAGAGACCCTGAGTTGAGGGAAGGGGACATGGAAATGGTTAAACGCCACCTGCAATTTAATGAGCTCCAGGTCCTGGAGACATTCTGATTTCTCACCGGCTCACCTCCATCCCCACAGCGTGGTCCCCCATATGGCAGTTTACCTTCCCAGAGTAAGCTGTGTGCTCTGAGTGTGTGTATGAGGGTGTAAGTGTGTGTGTCTCTCCTCCGTTAAGTCAAACAAGGAGGTTGTTCAGAAATACCCCACTACCCCTGTTGTCACTTCAACTGTGGTCTTTCCGTGAATACCCTAGGGGAGAAAGATAGACTTTTAACGACTTGCTTAAAATTTACAGGGCTTTATTTTTTCATTAGTAAGTTAAGTTTAGTCAGCACTTAAAATTTGCTAACGTCTTTGGTTTAGAAATATTTCAGCAACCATAAAGCAGTAGCTTTGAGGATATTAGGGTAATAAGACAAGTCCCTTAAGGATGGGCTGCAATTATTGCCTGCTTTGGTCTTTAACTGGTATGAATGACATGCACCTTTGATTGTCCCTCTATCATATTTTAAGATCTTTGGGGGCAGGGGTCACTTCTGATATTTCTTGGTCCTCCACCCCGCAATCAGTAAGCTCAGCACCCACCACATCATCTGTGCTCACTGAGTGAGTCAGCCATCTTCTGTTCCAGCCGAAGTAACCCGTGAGTCCTGAATGACCCAATTAAAGAGATGAAGATTGTAATGCTGGTCTGAAGGCACTGTAGCTGTCTTCCCAGACTTGATCTGGAAGACCTGCCCTAGCTAATGAAGCCCACAGATAAGCTCTCACAGAGAGTTGTGGTGGCTATATTACGATGATTATGCAAAAAACTGCAGGTGTAAGTCACCTTGAGAGAAAACTGGTACATCGGGTGGATCTTGCTGAGGTCATTCATGATGAAGTAGAGCAGAGAGGCTCGGGCAGCTGCTGGCCGGTAGTGCTCTCGGGCCTCATTGATTTTCACTTCTGTCACCTTGGCCTCTTGGACCTGTTAAGGAGGGAAACAGTGGTCCATTGTTCTGACCAACCCATCAGCCTGGCCTCTCTGTGTCAATAGACGTGTCTATGTGCGGAGGGAGGGATGGGTCTGGGTGGGGATGGCAGCCAGAAGGTTAGGAAGCTGCCATGTTAATTAATTAATTAATTAATATTTTGGAGAAAGAGAACACACATGTCCTTATGCATATGTGCACGGGGGAAGGGGCAGAAGGAGAGAGAGAATCTTAAGCAGGCTCCATACCCAGTGCGGAGCCTGACGTGGGGCTCAATCTCATGACCCTGGGATCATGACCTGAGCCGAAATCGAGAGTTGGACCCTTAACTGACTGAGCCACCCAAGTGCTCCATGCTGTGGTATTTTTTTAGTAGTGCTTCAGTGAGAAAGGAGGCGACATACTCCATCTTTCATGAGGGTGAGAGTGCTAGCTCTTCCAGCTGGGAAGTGTGGGCCATGCAAGCTTCTGAGCTCCATTTCAAATGAGAAAGATTTCATGGAAAAAATATATATAACTTGAAAATAAATAAACTTATGTATGTATGTATGTATATATATATATTTACATATATAGTACTTGAAAACAAACCAGAATTCCAGGCAGCGAAAATCCAGTGAAGAGAGGAAGAAAAGATGGTGGAGGAGTAGGGGACCTTATTTCAACTGGTCCCCGGAATTGAGCTGGATATCTACCAGACCACTCTGAGCACCCATGAAACCAGCCTGAGATGTAAGAAGATCTGGATCTCTACAAACAGAATATCGCAGGCGGTTGGTTTTGAGGTACGAAGTGGGGAGCCCTGATTCCGGGGGCAGATTTTGGAGGATAAACGGCAGGGGGAGGGAGCCTGTCCGTGGGGATCCTCCACCGCCAGTGAGCGACAGCCTTGAGTGCTGGCGACAGGGCACAGACTCACAGACCGGTAGCGGAACTGAAGAACTTTGGGGCAGCCCCCAGGTTGGAAACCCAGAGTGGAGGGGTCGTGCGTGCGATCTGGGAGTGGCTGGCAGTTTTAGAAGCACAAAGGGTAGAGACGTGCCCCAACCTGGAGGCAGGACTGGGGGCGCTGTGGAGGGGCGCACAACCCAGGACACTGCAGTTTATAGCAGTATGGACAGAAACGGAGACAGTGTGGCCTGGAGAGCTCACTGAAGAACAGACTGCAATCTGCTCTGAGACAGAGGGCTGGACATGGTCTCTTCTGCTCTGACTTGGGGAAGAGATGCAGAAAGCTGCCAGGGAAAGCTGCCAGAGAACAAAAGCCCCCAAAACTGATTCCGGCTGAACCCAGCCCCCGCCACAGGTGGGCAGGGCAACTCCGCCCAAACAGGGTTGCCTGAGTCACAGTGCGGCAGGCCCCTCCCCCAGAAGACAGGCTGGGAAAACAAGAGGCCAGCAACCCTAAGGTCCCAAGAAAACAGGTGCATCTTGCTTGGGTTCTGGTCAATAATTTGGACTCTATACATTCCCTCAAACACCCATCAACAGAATGACTAGGAGGAGGAGCCGCCAAAATAGAAGACTCAAAGATTATGACTTAGGCTGCAGATTTAGAAATGCATGCAGATATAACCAAGATGTCAGAGATGGAATTCAGGCTAGCAATTGTGAAGACAATGGCTAGAATGGAGAAATCAATTAATGGCAACATAGAGTCTCTAAGGGCAGAAATGAAAGCTGAATGGCAGAACTTAAAAATGCTATCAATGAGATAGCCTTGATCCAATCTAGATCCAATCCAATCTAGATAATCTAACAGCTAGGGTAAGTGAGGCAGAAGAATGAATAAGTGACCTGGAAGACAATTTAATAGATAAAAAGGGAAAAGAGGAGGCCAGGGAAAAACAACTCAGAATCCATGAAAATAGAATCAGAGAAATAAGTGACACCATGAAGCATTCCAATGTCAGAATAATTGGAATCCCGGAGGGAGTGGAGAGAGAGAGAGGACTAGAAGATGTATTTGAGCAAATCGTAGCTGAGAACTTCCCTAATCTGGGGAATGAAACAAACATTTGCATCCTAGAGGCAGAGAGGACCCCTCCCAAGATCAAGGAAAACAGCCCAACACCCTGGCATGTAATAGTAAAACTCACAAATCTTAGAACAAAGGAAACCATCTTAAGGGCTGTTAGGGGGAAGAGATTCCTTTTGTACAGAGGGAGGAACATCAGAATAATGTCAGACCTCTCCACAGGGACCTGGGCAAGCCAGAAAGGCCTGGCAAGACATATTCAGGATACTAAATGAGAAGAACATGCAGCCAAGAATACTTTATCTGGCAAGGCTGTCATTTAGAATGGATGGAGAGATGCAGAGCTTCACAACCAGCAGAAACTGAAAGAATATGTGACCACTAAGCTGGCCCTGCAAGAAATATTAAGGGGGGGTTCTATAAAAGGAGAAAGACCCCAAGAGTGATATACAACAGAAATTTACAGGGACAATCTATAAAAACAACACCTTCACACGCAACATGATGACAATTAATTCATATCTTTCAATAATCACTGTCAACATGAACGGCCTAAATGCTCCCATAAAACAGCACAGGGTTGCAGACTGGGTAAAAAGACAGGACCCATCCATATGCTGTCTACAAGAGACTCATTTTGAACCTAAAGATACATCCAGACTGAAAGTGAAGGGATGGAGATCCATCTTCCATACCAGCAGATCTCAAAAGAAAGCTGGGGTAGCAATTCTTGTATCAGACAAATTAGATTTTAAACTAAAGTCTGTAATTAGAGACACAGAAGGACACTATATCGTTTTTAAAGGGTCTATCCAACAAGAAGATCTAACAATTATAAATATCTATGCCCCCAACATGGGAGCAGCCATCTACATAAGCCAACTGTCAACCAAAATGAAGAGTCATATTGATAACAATACGTTAATTGTAGGAGACCTCAATACTCCACTCTCGGCAATGGACAGATCATCTAAGCAGAAAATCAACAAGGAAACAAGACCTCTGAATGATACACTGGACCAGATGGACCTCATAGATATATACAGAACATTCCACCCTAAAACAACAGAATACTCATTCTTCTCGAGCGCACATGGAACTTTCTCCAGAACAGACCACGTACTGGATCACAAATCAGGTCTCAACTGATACCAAAAGATGGAGATTATTTCCTGCATATTCTCAGACCACAATGCTTTAAAACTGGAACTCAATCACAAGAAAAAATTTGGCAGAAATTCAAACACTTGGAAGCTAAAGACCATTCTACTCAAGAATGTTTGGGTCAACCAGGAAATCAAAGAACTTAAACAATTCATGGAAATCAATGAGAATGAAAACACATTGGTCCAAAACCTATGGGATACTGCAAAGGCAGTCCTAAGGGGGAAATACATAGCCATCCAAGCCTCACTCAAAAAAATAGAAAAATCCCAAATTCACCAACTAACTCTACACCTTAAAGAACTCAAGGGAAAGCAAAAAACAATGCCTAAGCCATGCATTAGAAGAGAAATAATAAAAATTAGAGCAGAGATCAGTGAATTAGAAACCAGAAACACAGTAGATCAGATCAACAAAACTAGAAGTGGTTCTTTGAAAGAATTAATAAGATCGATAAACCACTGGCCAGACTTATCCAAAAGAAAAGAGAAAGGACCCAAATTAATAAAGTTATGAATGAAAGGGAAGAGATCACGACTAACACCAAGGAAATAGAAACAATTATTAGAAATTATTATCAACAACTATATGCCAATAAATTAAGCAACCTGGCAGAAATGGACGCCTTCCTGGAAACCTATAAGCTGCCAAGACTGAAACAAGAAGAAATCGACAACCTGAATAGGCCAATAACCAGTAACGAGATTGAAGCAGCGATCAAAAACCTCCCAAAAAACAAGAGTTTAGGGCCTGATGGATTCCCTGGGGAATTCTACCAAACATTCAAAGAAAAAATAATACCTATTCTACTGAAGCTGTTTCAAAAAGTAGAAACAGAAGGAAAACTTCCAAACTCATTCTATGAGGCCAGCATTACCTTATTCCCCAAACCAGGCAAATACCCCATCAAAAAGGAGAATTTCAGACCAATATCCCTGAGGAATATGGATTCCAAATCCTCAACAAAGTCCTAGCTAATAGGATCCAACAATACATTAAAAGGATCATCTACCACGACCAAGTGGGATTTATCCCTGGGATGCAAGGGTGGTTCAACATTCGCAAATCAATCAATGTGATAGATCACATTGGAGGGAGAAGAACCATATGGTCCTCTCAATTGATGCAGAAAAAGCATGTGACAAAATACAACATCCTTTCCTGATTAAAACTCTTCAGAGTATAGGGATAGAGGGAACATTCCTCAAGTTCATAAAATCTATCTATGAAAAACCCACAGCAAATATCATCCTCAGTGGGGAAAAGCTGAGAGCCTTTCCCCTAAGATCAGGAACACGTCAAGGATGCCCACTCTCACCACTACTGTTCAACATAGTACTAGAAGTCCTAGCAACAGCAATCAGACAACAAAAAGAAATAAAAAGTATTCAAATTGGCAAAGAAGTCAAACTCTCTTTTCGCAGATGACGTGATACTTTGTGTGGAAAACCCAAAAGACTCCACCCCCAAATTACTAGAACCCATACAACAATTCAGTAATGTGGCAGGATACAAAATCAATGCACAGAAATCAGTTGCTTTCTCATACACTAAGAACGCAACTGCAGAAAGAGAAATTAGAGAAACGATTCCACTTACAATAGCACCAAAACCCATAAGATACCTCGGAATAAACCTAACTAAAGAGGTAAAGGATCTATACTCTAGGAACTACAGAACACTCATGAAAGAAACTGAAGATGACACAAAAAGATGGAAAAATATTCCATGCTCATGGATCGGAAGAATAAACATTGTTAAAATGTCTATGCAATCTACACCTTCAATGCCATCCCGATCAAAATTCCAATGACATTTTTCAAGGTGCTAGAATAAACAATCCTAAAATTTGTA